CAAAGTTGATTTAGTGAATGAAGTCTTGATGCATGACCATACAACCTTGCATTAATAGGTTGGGGCATCGTAGCTTTATCATGTACATGACGCATTAGCTCTTTTAGTTTGTTACAGTTTAACTTAAAATTTTACAATCTAAAACTAGTAGGCAGTAAGAAGCATGTATCTTATAATTATATCTTTAATGAATTATCAATCGTAAATGAATATGTTTAGAAACCAGCCTAATAGACCATGGTGATTGTTTTAATTGTGGTGACAGTAATTTGTTAAAGGACAACATTTTTCAGAGAATGGCATTTGCATGACTAAGTTTTGACTAACCACAATAGTGATAATATTATTATCTAGTGACATGATTAAGAGAAATGTGGGTCCTAAAGTGCTAGTAACACAACAAAAATTCATTTGTCATTAAAATTTGTTTGTAAAACTCACTCTCTCTTTATTACTTTTCTCTTTGACCATTCTTTTCTAACAAAATAATAGCTCGATAGCTAGACAATTCATCCAACTTTGACCATTTTATTTGATTTCAGGTTTGTTTATAATTGAATCGTAATATATCGATCCTATTTTAAGGTCATAAAATATTATGATATCTTTTGATATATCATGATAAATTATAAAAATAACATAATTTTAAAAAAAAGGTTAACAAGTAAACATTAAAAAAATACATTAATTTATTTAATTTATTAATTTAACAAATAAAAAAGGATATATTTTTAATTTTATAATATCAATTTATTTTACGAAATTAACTTAATTAATTATGTTTAATAATATTTTTATACTTTTTTTTTATCATTTCATTTAGAATTATTAAAACTTTTTTTTAGAATAAGACATTTTAAACTCATTTTTAATCTAATGATATGAATTTTACAATTATTTTCATCTTTTTACGTTAACAAATTTTTTATTTAAAATCTTTTAATTTAAAAATATCAATTATTTTACATTGTGAATTTAATTATTTAGTTTAATTTTTTTGTTACACTTGTTCTTACTTTTTGTTTCGTTTAAAATTATCACAATTTTTTTTCTTAAAGGTATTATGATACTTCTAACCATTTTATGCCCAATAATATCAATTTTACGATTGCTCTCACCATTTTTTTTTATACTAGCACTTATTTTTTTGTTTAGAATTATTAATTATTTGTAATAATAATTCTTTTACATTATCAACAATATTATTTATATTACAATAATATTTTTTTTACATTTGTTCTTACTTTTTATTATGTTTAAATTTATCACAACTCTTATTAAGATATTACAATAATTTTAATTAAATTTATGCCAAGTGACACCAAATTTACAACTATTTTTACCTTTTTTTACGTTATGATATTTTTAACACACTTTACATCAAATTATTTTAATTTTATAATTATTTTCACTTTTTTACGTTAACATTTTTTTTGTTTAGAATCATTTTTTATTTATAATAATATATCTTTTATATTATCAACATAATTCTTTACATTATAATAATATATTTTTACACTTAGTGTTATCTTTCATTATGTTTAGAATTATCATAATTTTTTTTAAAGGTGTTACAACACTTCTAACTATTACGCCAAAAAATATTAATTTTACACTTATTCTTATCTTTTTTACGTTAACATCTATTTTTTGGTGTAGAATTATTTTTTATTTATAATACTAATTTTTTTACATTGTCAATTTAATTATTTATGTTTTAATAATTTTTTTTATACTTGTTATTACTTTTCATTACGTTTAGAATTACCATAATGTTTTATTAAGGTGTAACGATACTTGTAACTATTTTACGTCAAATAATACTAATTTTACTATTATTCTCACTTTTTTACATTAACTTTTATTTTTGGTTTAAAATTATTTTTTTAATTTCTAATAATATTATTTTTTTACATTACCAACTTAATTATTTTTGTTATAATAATATCTTTTTATGCTTGTTGTTACTTTTTATTATGTTTATAACTATTACAACTCTTTATTAAGGTGTTAAGATACTTCTAACTTATTTTACATTAAATGACACCAATTTCACAATTATTCTCACATTTTTACATTAACATTTATTTATTGATTTAGAATTATTCCTTGGGTTTAAGATAATAATTCTTTTACATTTTCAATTATTATTTGCATTACAATATATCTTTTTATTTTTTTTATTAGCTTATTTAAAATTATCATAATTCCTCTTAAGTGTTTGACACTTCTAAATATTTATAAATGAATCAATGATATTTAATTTTAATATATTCTAATCATATTTTTAGGTTAACATTATATAATCAATTAAATATTATAATATTAATAATATTCTAAATAACTTTTTTAGACAATTATTATAGATTGTATAAATCTAAAAATTAAAATATTTTTTTTTATTAAATAATAAAAATATTTATATTTGATTAAATTAAATTAATAAGTAATTATTATTTTTACAATTAAAAAAATCAATGATTTATATTAATTCTTTAAATCTAACAATTATTATTCAATTACCTTATAATAAGGTCAAAAAATTTAAACTTATTGTAGAAATTCTTGTCCTAGAAAAAAATTCATTGAATGTGACTTGTTTGTTTGATTTCATTGAATTTCTGTCGATTTACTACATCCCACATAAAAAATTCAAGGAATATTGTTTCTTTTGATTCACAAAGGCAAGGATCATACCACTTAATAAAAATGGAATGACAACTTCCTGCCTTGTATTTTATACTGCAAACTCAATAAAATATAGATCAGCATGTAAAACAAAAAATGAAAAGTCTGAATTCATGAATGATGTGATATAAGCCAAAGCCAGCCAACCAACAAGTAAAGGTGTGATATAAGTCAAAGTCTAAAATATTGTTATGGCAGAGTATATATGATCTATCACTGTGTGCTGAAATCATGAAAGACGTGATAATGTCAAAATTTATGATAAGAATCAAAACTTAGGAAATGTCAAAACTTTTATGGTAAGAGTCAAAACTTATGGTAATGTCAAAAAGATTCTATTTGTACATAAAAATTACTTAATATATCATAAACTTTTTTTATAAATTTAATTTTTAATAAAATTACTTAAATACCTATTAAAAAATTATATTTTTACCCTTCACATTTATTTTTTCTTCTCTTCTTTTTTTTTTCTCGTTCCTAAACTAGTCGTAGTTTTTTTCTCTTCTTTTTTTGGGCAAAAAATCATATTATTGTCAAAATTCATAATCAAAATTTATAATAGCTTATATATTGTTAAAATGAAAAGTGAACTTAAGAGAAATAATTGTAATAATGAAATTTTGGATATGACAATTATGACAATTTGGTAAGTTAATTTTCAAAAATAGATATCCGAAAGCTTGTAAAAATTTTCAAAAATTCATTTTTAGAAGCTCTTAAAAACTTTTAGATCTGAAAATTCTTAAAGTTTTCTCACATCCAATTTTGAAAATTTTTCTTAAAAACTCTTCTGAAAATTTTTAAAAATTTTTGAAAATTTGTTTTAAAAAATTTTATATCCTACTGAAACATTTTAAATTTAGGAAACTAAAAATGAAATAAATACAAAAAAAAAACACAAATCTCAAACCGTGGCAAGTGAAAAAAAAAACAAGTGCAAAAATGAAGGATGTTTCGGGCCTAGAGGAGTTGGAAAAATCTCAAACTATGGGTGAAAAATGAACTGACAATAGCTTTTCAAGTAGTTTTGATTCTTTCAAAAAAAAAAAAAAAAAGCATGGGTAAACAAATAACTAACAATAGTATAAAATCTCTCTCTTTCTACCTACTTCCAAAACTTAACATTTTTTCTTTTTGGCATCAGTAATTTTTTTTACGCATCTAGTGAGTCTATATATCTAAACAAAAAAGCAGAGATTTGTGATTGGCAAAGCTAGAAATCTACTTGAAAGTAAATGTCAAAACTATCACTTTCAATGACCCCAACTCTTATCTCCTCAATTTCCACATCGTTTCTTGTCCTCTACTCCTACTGATTCTTATTCTTATTCTTCTTCAACAATGGCTTCTTCAATTTTCGTTAATACTATCAACCCTAAGGTTTCTTTCATTTGGAGTGTTTCTGGATTTCTCTTGTTTTTTTTTTTTTTTTTTTAGTGTTTAATTTGATGTAGGTTATTAATTTGTTAATGTTTTTGAATGTGGGTTTTATGCTTTATGTATTGTGTTTATCTTGTTATTTTAAAAAGTCTACATCTTTGACTGAGTAAACCGATCTTTGAATTCATTTCATTTTTACCTTATTTATTGGTTCTTTCATTTTAATATCAGTTTAGTAAAGATAGTAATCAAGTTGCCTATCGAGTCTAGAAGGATGTCAATGGATAGGAAAGAGCATTTTTTTATCTAGAATTTTTATATTACATTCATTTTCGTACATATACTTAAAGGATATTTTAAATTTAATATTATTTTTGTTTCAGCGAGTATTTAATGGTTTTAAATTTATACCTATCTTGGATAATTTCATCCTTATTTTCATGAGTATTTAAAATACTTAACAGATATTTTAAATTTATTTTCATATCATTTTCACAAATATTTAATATTTTTAAATTTATTTTTATCTGCATTCTCGCGAGTATTTAAAAGGTATTGATAATCTTTACATTTATAGCTTTTAAAAAAATAAAAATGAAAATTATTTTTTTAAGTTTTTTAATTTTTACCTTGTATATTTAAATAATTTTTTATAAATATATATTAATATATTTTTTAATAAAAATATATTAATTTTAATTAATCTAAAATAATAATTTATATTATATAATAAAAAAGTTATTTACTAAATATATATAAATATATGTGTAAGATAAATAGATATTATATTATTTATCTCCTTTTTATTTTTATCCTCATACTTAATAAAAATTTAAAATTATATTTATTTTTATTTTCGTGCCCGTAATATAATATTCATCAAAAAGTAGGAATATCCGTTGTGTACGGATAAGATTCACATTCCTAGGGTCAGCGCGGTTCTCCGTTTGCAATAAGTGCTTTCTTATGAAAAAAAAGAGCATTTACTTTCATACATACATCTTATACTTATCTTTATTAGTCGAATGATGATTTTATGTTGTGCTTGTTTATTCTTTTCATTTTCTATTGATTTGTAGTTTTTCCTTTTTTTTTTGTAGCATTTGTCTTTCATAGGAGTGGTTCTTTTTTTCTTTCTCTTGCATGTATATAATCGTGGCTTTACAATTAGGAGTGACCTGTTTTTAGTACATGTACTGAATTGATTGTACTCCTTTTATGCTCAAATCAATCTCATAGCGTCTATTAAGCAAGTTCTTTTCATTAAAGCTCACTACAATTGCAAATTAGAAACAGATTTGCTGATTTTAGAGTTTTTTTTTTTTTTTTTAAATTAAAGGCAATGGCATTAAGTGGAGACCTGAATCATTCAAGTTTCTAAGCACTTCTGTGTATTGATTCAGGATATGGAATATTCTCATTTTAGTTTGAAGCCAGCTTAATAACTTGTGTGATCGGTCTGTTTCCTTAACACTAATTCTCTCTTTATCATCAGGTCCTAGAATGCGAGTGTGCTGTCCGTGGTGAGATTGTCACCCTTGCCCAGTAGTATGCTAATCTGCATCAGTTCTAATGTATTTGCAACATTTTTATTTCTGTCCAGAGTTAATTCCCATGCTTGTGTGCACATCCAAGCATAATCGGAAAATGGACTAAGAGATGTCTTTTGGGTGATTGCAGCATTAGTGTCCATGTTGGTTGACAGTTTTCATTATGTTTTAGAAAATTTGAAGTAAATGCTGCTGATATAGTTTGGTGTATGAAGCTGGATGTACTTGTGTATAAAATTTTTGGATAGTCCTTTAATGAAATTTTCTTAATATCTCTCTCAGAAATTGCAACAAGAGATACAGACTAAACCAGAGGCTCATCTCTTTGAAGAGGTATACATTTCTCTCTTCCTTGCAGTTTTTATATGGGTGCTTGGAGTATCATTTGTACTTCATTGAGACAATATCCCTTTTCTCCCTTCCTTTTGCTCTCCCATGGTTGAATAGAAATGTCATGGTTATATCATATTACCATTTATGAATGATTGATTGCATAAAGGTGTCCATCCTGAACTACAATGAAGAGGCTTTTATGTTTGGAGTTGTAGATTTCGTCTGGCTGACTTTGATGGTTGTGGAATTCTGTAGGCTGGATGTTGTTTATTTCTCATGAAGTTTAATTTTGTTGGAATGCCTCTTCTCCAAAAGAGGCACAATAAAGGTTCCATAGAGAAGTGGAAATTAGGGTGGGGGGATGACCCTTCTAACATCAATTTTTTTTTCTATAATTGTATTACATGAACTTTTATTCGACACTCTACCAGTTTTTTTTTTTTTTTATTTGGCATTAAATATTAATCATCTTTTGCAGATACTGTACTGCAATATTGGAAATCCTCAGTCTCTTGGTCAGCAGCCAATAACTTTCTTCCGAGAGGTTGGTATTTTCTTACTAGGTGATATTGATTACCATAAAGTTGTCATGTGAATGAAGCAATTGTAATTAGGATGGCTCTGCAACAGGTTCTTGCATTATTCGACCATCCATCCATTTTGGACAAAAGCGAAACACAGGGTTTAATCAGGTACTGAGAATTAATATTAGCCATCAGCTTTGCGGTTGTTTCTGTTAAATTTTATAATTGTTATATTTGCTTTCTTTCACCTGATAAAGCTTTCAGTTTTCAGATAGGGTGTTTAATCTGGCCCTTCAATGGGCATATCCATGTCCATAATGGATATGAATATAATATATAAACCCTTTGTGTCCTTACTGTGCACAAATTTATAATGTTACGTTTATTACCTCATTCATACAAGTTATCTCTTTCCCCTCCTCCCCTCTGTGTCTAAATAAAAATGGGCACCTAGACGACTTTGAATACCAGAGAATCAGAAAACATATGTTCTCCTTTATGCCTACAATCTCCTAAAACCCCATCCTCCTACCACCTTAGTTGGTCTTTGGTGGTATATGAGCTATACTCTTCTGCTTACACTTTGCTAAAAAGCTTGCATTTCTGTTGAGTCTATCAGAATAGAAGGGGAGTTTTTCCTGCTTTTTAGCTTTCTGTTCTTCACTGAAATCTATGCTTGATGGTTCGTAATGGCTGAAAACTCCATCAACTTCGATTGAGTCCAGTGAAAGGAAACATAAAGAGATGTTCTCTTCTGCTAGCCATTGAATTTTTACTTTGGCAGATTACCAGCTTTTCTTTGACAGTCATTCCTCTGCCTCATGTAATTTGGTTGGTGGCCTTTTGCAGTGCGGACTCCATAGAGCGGGCTTGGCAAATTCTTGATCAAATTCCTGGAAGGGCAACTGGTGCCTACAGTCATAGCCAGGTTGTGATTGGTGCTGACATCTTGGAACTTTGACTATTTATGCTTCCGTATTATTCATACTTTTTTATTTTCTTTCGATGTCAGGGTATCAAGGGATTACGTGATAATATTGCTGCTGGGATTGAGGATCGTGAAGGTTTTCCTGCTGATCCAAATGATATTTTCTTGACAGATGGTGCCAGCCCTGCGGCATGTTTCTATATCAAAACTTCTTGTTTCCATGAATGATGAGTTCCTCATAAACACATGTATAACAGAATGGATTTTTCCTCCTTATCTCCAGGTGCATATGATGATGCAGTTACTGATAAGATCTGAGAAGGATGGAATTCTCTGTCCCATCCCTCTGTATCCTTTATACTCTGCTTCAATTGCTCTGCATGGTGGAGCTTTGGTATGCATATAACATGTTAAAGCATTTTTTAGAATTTTAGATATTTGTAAGCTAACTGGCTTCTTTAGCTGTCATTGAAGTACTTAGTTTTTGTTGGTTATTGGCCAAGCTTTAACTGACCAAAATCAAGTTGCCTTATGTTTCTTGAGGATTAGTTTTAAGCTACCTGTCTTGGTAGGACTTGTAAAATGGTTGGAAGTAGAGATTTCTTTTACCATTTAGTGATGTGTTGATTGGCAGATTGTTCACAACTTTCTTTTGGCTTTTGCAGGTTCCATGCTATCTTGATGAAGCTACAGGATGGGGTTTGAAAGTATCTGAGCTTAGGAAACAACTAGAGACTGCGAGGTCCAAGGGCATCACAGTTAGGGCTTTGCTTGTAATAAATCCAGGCAACCCAACAGGACAGGTAATCAATGACAAGCAATCCAAAAGTATATTCTAAATGAAGAAATATCTTGAATTTTGTTTATACATGATTTTATTTTCTCATTTTGATTGCAGGTTCTTGCTGAGGAAAACCAGAAGGCTATTGTGGAATTCTGCAAGCAAGAAGGACTTGTACTGCTGGCAGATGAGGTAGGTTGATTTGTATATGTTCTGGCTTTGCCATTCACCTCAATAACCACTTATGTTTTTACAGGTTTACCAGGAAAATGTTTATGTACCTGGAAGGAAATTCCATTCTTTTAAGAAGGTTTCCCGGTCTATGGGTTATGATGAGAAGGATATATCCTTAGTATCTTTTCAGTCTGTCTCAAAAGGTAAAATTGGTTTTGTCTTAGTTCTATCATTGCATTTATAGAATGTGAAAGAACTTATGCAAATTTTGGAATTTTGATATAAAAACATGCAGTCTTTTACTGTCTCCAGGGTATTATGGAGAGTGTGGAAAAAGGGGAGGTTATATGGAGGTTACTGTGTTCAGTGCTGATGTCAGGGAGCAAATATACAAAGTGGCATCTGTGAATCTGTGTTCTAACATCTTTGGTCAAATTCTTGCTAGCCTTGTCATGAGTCCACCTAGGGTTAAATCTTTTTCTATTTAAAATCAATTTTCTGTGTTTATTCCAATGACATTGGATCTATGATATAAAGATAAAATGAGATAGAACCAGACAGATTTTGAGCTTTCACTAGCTTCTTGCAAGCATTGATTCTTATAGAAGCGTTAAAATCTCTCATCTATTATTATGGTTGACAATTTGGAAACTGTCTGGTACACGACTTGGTATAGAGCAGTACTGTTCTGGGATAATGGAGTAAAATATTATGTTTACAAAAGCTTATCATTGGTTAAATTATATCATGCATGCCTTATATATGATGTGATATTTGTTGCAAATGAAACTTGCAGGTTGGAGATGAATCCTATGAATCACACAATGCTGAAAGAGATGGAATCCTCTCATCTTTAGCAAGGCGTGCGAAGGTTAGTCCTCTCTTAGATTGGATTAGTTTACATAATATTGAATAGGGGCATTAATGTTTAGTTGTAGCAAAAGTGAGTGCTAAATTCCACATTCTAATATGGTACTTAACCAAGAAATTTGGAAATGTGCAGTTGATTGCCAGTGTAGGAGAGTTTGAGCTTATTTAAATTATATAATTAGTAAAATTCTATTAATTGAGACTCAAATGAAATAATTGTTGGCATTTTTTTATTCAATGCCCCTTTTTACTGGTTTTATAATTACACTTGACCATTTTAGCATTTTTTATTCCTAAATATAGACACTGAAAGATGCATTCAACAAGTTGGAAGGTGTGACATGTAATAAGGCAGAAGGTGCAATGTATCTCTTTCCCAGAATTTGCCAGCCTGAAAAGGCAATCAAAGTTGCTGAAGCTACAAAAACAGCACCGGATGCATTCTATTGTCGTCATCTCCTCACTGCTACGGGAATTGTTTTTGTTCCTGGTTCTGGCTTTGGGCAGGTGAGTTAATTACTACCATTATGATAACTTTCTTTGGTTTGGAATTCAGTTCCTTTTAATTTTAGTCGTTCCACTTTCCGAAGTTAGCAATTAAAATGTTTTTATTGAACAAAACTAAAGATCAAAAAGAAATCGGGTTTTGTGAAATTACAATTTGGTTGGATCAACATTCTGGTGTTAATTGATTTGCCTTTTCTTTATCTTTGCTTGATGTGTGGGGTGCACAATACTCACTCAAGAAGAAAAGATTCCGGCTATTATTACCCCTCTAACTGATTTCCATAAAAGTTTTTGAATGAATTCTATGACTAAGTATGAGGTAGTTTTTGGAAAACATTTTAAATAAAACGTGCCATTTCTTTTTTTTCATATAGACAATGGACACTTTGTTAATGGTTCCCTATTTTGCGCTGTTTTTTTAATTTAATAAAAAAGATACATCAATATTTTTGGTTTAATATTTTTGGTTTATCCACCAAGTTTTTGCAGATATAATGTCTTACTAATGAGAAAATTTTGTGATCGTTTTTAAGGATAATACCTCCTTTAGTTAATATTAGTTGGGATTGTTGTTTTGATTTTTGAAAATTTAAGTAAGAAAATATTATCTCATTTTAAAATCAGTAAATATCATTGATATGAGTAAAATTTTATATTAAATTTACAAATTGTTTATTAAAAAATAAATTATTTGTTGATAGATTATTTATAACAAGAATCGAATTTAAACTTTATAAACGAAATATTTATTTTTTATCTTATTGTGTTTGAGTAGCTTGTTGGTTCACAAATTTACTAGCTCATGAGAACTCATGGGAGAGGCATTTCTATTTATACTTGAGCTATGTGGTTTCTAAGGAACCAATGAGTGTTGTGTGGTCACTAAGAAACCAAGTGCATGGCTCTTTTATAATTAAGTTTACGTGATCACTGAGAAATTAAGTGTGTGGCTCTTATATAATTAGGTTTATGTGGTTATTAAAAAAGTAAGTGTCTCTTATATGCATTTTAAAGGATTTTAAGACCTCTAGATAAAAAATTTTAGAGGATTCTAAGACTTTTAGACATAAGAAGCTAATAGTATGGTTCTTATATACATTTTAAAAAGTTTTAAGGCTTCCAGACACGTACAAGATCAGCTATGACTTTAAAAAAAAAAAAAATTGGTTCTAGACACTGTAATGCATTGGGTCCGAAAGGTTCTAAACTCTTCTCGCAGAGTATCCGCGCCTAGTGCCTTCCAATAACTTCCTCTCTTTGGCGTTACAGTACCCGCACCTGTTCCCGCATCTAACTCTTCTAAAATGTCTTTTAGAATATTCTATATACCCACGCACTTGACCTAACTCGAAGCTTATTTAGAGTCTTCGTGCCTTTACTACCCGCACCACATATTTGGGGCTTTCTAGAAATTTCTCCCTTTGGCGTTGGAATCATTTGTTGCCATACAAATCATTAGTTGCCATACGAAGATTAATGCCAAAATGTGGTACTTGAGTATTAATCCTGAAAGGTGATGTTTTGGCTGTTTTAATTGCAAGATCATGAAGCACCACGAATTTCTTATCACGTGCTTTTTGGAGTTGGAATTATAGCAGGCAATAAGCTATTGTCTAGGATCATACTGGTATCTGAATCAATGTTTACAACACACGTGGAATGACTTCAAGAAAGAACATAAAAAAAATAATTTGGCCTTTAGAACAAAGGGATCAAAATCAGACTTTTAACAACATGATTTGATGGCAGAAAAAAATAGTTAAAAACATTAGACCATAAGAAGGTAGCCAACAATAGATTACAAATATACAATTGATTCGGCCCAGATATGTGCTATCGAGTAGATTCAGTATGCATCACAATTTGGATAAGTTGGATAGTAGACAAACAAATTCAGAATTTGAATAAAATAGGACACATCACTCACTCCACAAAACACCCGTTACTTTAAGACAAAGAACTTAAACCAATTCAAGGAAATCATTGAATTTGACAAGATAAAATATGAGTTTAGAAAAGCAATGTGGTTAACCACGTGCTAGAATTTGACAAAGCAAATTAAATCCAATTAAAAGGTTCTTTTCTGATAAGGTGTAATCAAATTATCCAAATGAAAAGTAGATGAGTTTAATGGCACACAAAATGGACTACAAGTCTCTTCATCACACATGCATTGTTATGAAAAAGGAAAGAAGTTGTTGCATGGAAGATTGTTTACAATACTTGTTACAACAAGCATTCCCATAGGCGAGTAATGACGGCTTCCACCTCTGAAGGATGTATAGATGGAATTGTTGGTGCTACTGGCAATATCAAATTATTTGTTTGGATTCACTGTAATAGTAACATTGTTCAATAACAAGAATTTCAGTAAAAATAAATGAAATACATAGAGTGCAATCACAATTGCATATATTTTTTGATTTAAACTTTAAATAATCTTTCTTCCATACTTGCTTTAAAATGGACAGAGCAATTGTTTCGGCTTTTTGAAGAGTTAGGTCCTGCAGGGGAAATAAACTGTTATTAGTGTTAATCAGCACCAAATAACTCATGCATATGCGGAGAGAGTCAAAACTATGGAACGTATTATTGCAACATGGCTGTGTTAATTTTAGTTATTTAGACATTGCTGAAGTGGATATCATAAAACTTAATAACAAGTTGATTCCTAAAACAATCAAGTTACCAAATTAAGCACTCTCAAGGACAAAAAACAACATAAGAACAGAAGTGAAGATAGTATCTGCAAAATGTGCCAGAGGGATCAGTATAGTATCTGCAAAAGAGAAGTTGCGAAGCCACTGAGAATGGACTTAAATCAAAGTTGATTTAGTGAATGAAGTATTGATGCATGACAATGCAACCTTGCATTAATAGGTTGGGGCATCGTAGCTTTATCATGTACATGATGCATTAGCTCTTTTAGCTTGTTACAGTTTAACTTAAAATTTTACAATCTAAAACTAGCAGGCAGTAAGAAGCATGTATCTTATAATTATATCTCTAATGAATTATCAATCGCAAATGAATATGTTTAGAAACCAGCCTAATAGACCATGGTGACTGTTTTAATTGTGGTGACAGTAATTTGTTAAAGGACAGCATTCTTCAGAGAATGGCATTTGCATGACTAAGTTTTGACTAACCACAATAGTGATAATATTATTATCTAGTGACATGATTAAGAGAAATGTCGGTCCTAAAGTGCTAGTAACACAACAAAAATTCATTCCTCTTTCACATATGTTGAAAGAAATTTTACCACAGCAAAACCAACACAATGTAAAATTATCTGATACTTACAAGCTAGGCCCATTTTCATCATGACCAGAAATGAGAAGAGACACCCCAAATGGTCGGGACTGCACAGAAAAATGTTAGTATACATGAATAAGCACTTCAAAAGTAATGCCATAGGTGGAATTCTGTATCAGATGGAAAAAGAAATTGAATGCACGATTACACAAGTCATATTAGGTGTGGCCCTCTCTTTATTGCTTACCAGTATGAGCAAAAAGCAACACAACATAGACAAAGAAACTAAAATGGCTACAACTATATACATAAAAAGATATGCAGTTGTACCATGGATTCTTCATCTCCTTCCCCAAATTGAAGGGCCAGATCACAAAGAGCTTGTGTTGTGGACTCTACAGTCATTGGCTCACCATATGAGAATCTATGGTTCTGTGTGAATGTAAAATATATCAGCAAAAAAAGTAAAAATAAATTCATATCAAAGAGTAATGGCACTAACAACTATGGTACCTAAGTCTCAACTCGTGCATGTTCAACAAGCGTTCATGCATCAGCAATCAACCCACTCATGGCACATCCTATATGCTCATCAATTCCATAATCTTCTCAACACTGCTGGGTTCCTGAAAGAGAATCAAGTACCTATGAGGCCTGGAAGAAGTTGCAACGATCCACATTCCACAATATCTAATACATGTGACACATGCTACATGCTGGACTTCTGGTAGCTTTTTAACAACATGACTGTGGTTTCAAGTGTACAAGCATTTGGTCAAAGTAAACAAGGGGCGGCTAAAGGAATTTTAGGGAGTATGGAGTAGCATGTTGAGAAAAATAAGGTAGTAGCTAGTCGAATAGAATACTTGACATGTCTTAAGCCATTACGTTACACTACATGGAGCCAACATACTACCTCACACATTATGTGGAATCCAACAATAAATTGAGAATATGGGAGGAATAAGCAATTGCAAAGTCTGCTATTTGCAACCTGATCTTCAAGTCTAGAGTCTTGACCATCAACCAATATTCACATGTTTGCAACTGAAGACTTAGTAATTTGTCAAAAGAGACTCCTTAAGACCCTAACAGCAAACCATTACTTCCCTTAATCTTCATGGAACTCCGCATCTTAAAAAACACATTCTTTTTTCTTCTATTATAAACAAGCAAAGGCTAACTACACAAGTAACTAGCAGAAATAGTTTGCAAATATAATAACATTAAATCAAGTAAGAGTGCAAACTGCAGACCAGCATTGGAGAAGGAATACGCTTCTCGACAGCTAGAACGACACCGTCTTTTGTCTTTAACCCAATTGCAGTTGAACCCAGCTGAAGTTCAATTAAAAAATGAAAAACCCATTTACACACAAAGTCTCACCATGAAAAAGAGAAGCCCTGTGAGTATGCTGCCCTATTAAACAGAAAGAAATTTAGTTCAAACAGTTAAAGAAGCAAATACAAACTTTGGCAATTGTTTCACATGTCAAAAGCACCCTATGACAGGTATAGGTGTTTAAAAAGATGGTGCAGCAACAAAAGAACTTGCAATTAGACTGAAATCCTTGTATCTTGATACAGACCACATAGGGTTCCAACTTTCTGAATGAACTGAAAAAGAACAGGACCGAGGTTAAAATGAAGATCAGTTATTAGATATAAAAATAAAACACAAATCTCTATATTATTCTTTCAAAATACTTACAATCACTCACAGACAAGCATATTTTCTTCTGTGTCATAAATCGTCCATTGGGGGTGATCATGCTACATAGAAGAAAATTGCAGTTTGATGTTAGAAATAGCTGTGTGTTTTCTATCGCAAATTTTGAAAAGGTCAAAACAGAAAGAAAGTGCATACATGATTCCAGTAGGCTTGTAGGGAGACTCTGGAGGGAACTTGATTTTTACATAGTAATACCCACCTTAGGAAACCAATTGAAAAGGAAAAAAATAATAATAATAATCAGATTGCACTATCAGATAGCTTCCTGTGGAGTCTACAATGAGCTAGATAAAATAACCACAAGCTATCATGGGGAAACTAGCCAACCTGCAAAAGGTGTTCCTTCACTCCCTTCCAGCACATAATCTGTAATGGTGAAGCACAAGAATTAAATAGATGTCCAGAAAACCTAATACATCAGTATTATGACAGAAAAATATTTATTTAATCATAATCAACACAGTGCCATAACCTCAGATTAGTTCAAAAAGAGTAGAGAAGCTACGATTACACATCAAACACGAGTAGTATCCAGGGAACAAGCCAATTTTATCACGCAATTCCATGTCCCAATCATTATAATACCAGAACTCATCATTATTAGCAACAGAAAAAAAAAGAAAAAAACTAACAAATTTAAGATTTGACTTCAATTCCTTCTAGGCATTATCTAGAAGTTTTAATTAGATAAGATTAGAACACAACATAGATTGAACTCTACTTCCTTGTACACTTATTGAAGAAGCCTGCCAAATGTCAGGGGCTTTTTGCGCACTCAGTCCCAAATTTACAGTCCACAACTTCGCAAGTAGGAAGTTTTATACACTTGCATCTCAACTGACACCCCAATACACAATTGACCAACAGTAAGGTTAATACCTTCAATGTATCTATTGGACAACATGAAAACAATTATTTTCCTGCTTTTACAAGGATAAAGTCTAGGATAGTAGGCAACTTCTTGGTTATTATAGAAGATGCTTTTATGTGAGTATTACAGAGCCTTATCTAAAGAAAGGAGATAAAAAAGATTTAATAAACTTACGCCACTCAAGGATGTCATTTGGGAATGGATGAGCAACAACATGAGAAACTGGTTCCTACAAATTCATAGAATAACTGTTAAAATTATCTGAGAAGAAACTATAATTAAGTTACAACAATAACAAAATTTTGTTATTCTAGAATAACTGTTAAAATTATCTGAGAAGAAACTATAATTAAGTTACAACAATAACAAAAATTTGTTATTCTAGAACCAATACATTTTCTAATAATCTCCAATTTATTCGTGCAGGGAGTGAAAAGATATCCAACTGTTTTTACTTGTCACTTGAAGCTAAACATAAATTCATAATGCTGAATTGCTGTTTAATAAACCAATAAAACAGACAATAGACTATCATATCATACAACACAACGTTCTCAATCCATTCACTATTGATGCAAGCTCTGCAGTAACAAGCTTCATACACAGGGTACCAAAGGCATAAAATTTTCCTTGCATTGAAAAAGAGTTTATAATCCACAGACACATAAAGACCAAAAAATTAATTAAAGGTTAACTAGATAATATAACAAGCTTTCTGCAACAGCTAAGCATTTCCAGGTTTCAGCAATTTGTATAAAAAGCACGAGTAACAATAAAATGAATTGCAGGAAATACAGGGAGAAAACAACGCCTTACAAAGTGCTCTATATTCTTTCTGAAGGCGCTTAACACAAAATTTCTCTGCCATTCCTCAAGACCCAAAAGCTGTCTCAGCCACAAAAATATAAAACCGGTAACTTACAATTATTCACTGACACAAAATAGAGCAAAATAAGAAGACAATTACTCAAATAGAAGACCATATAATAAATTCACAAAGATCTGACAAAATCCTCTAGCGAAAGATGCACAGTTAGCAGGCAAATCAGTTAACTAAAAGAATGACAATCCAGTGAAATTATTGAGTAATCAAGAACTTAAAACTCCAAAATGAATTCGACGAGCTCGGAATGAAGAATCATGAGAATAACTCAGCAAAAGCAATATAAATATGTTTTTCTTAAATTACATTAATTAACAGTGATTAATAATAAAATAAAGATTACAACAGAATTTAAACTAAGTATAAATTTACCTTAGGGTACTAATTTTCAATTTCTTATAATTTTACCCTAAATCATTACCAATTAATTAACACAGAAATCGGAAAATCTAATTAAACTGAAATTGATTGAATGATGAATTTTGATGATCAATTAAACTAAATTTAAAGTAAAAGCCCAAACAAGGATCTACCAATTTAAACCCCCAAAACGAAAAAAAAAAAAATCAATGAAAAAGGAGATCGCGTTTACAGTACAGAAATTCAACAAACAAAAAGTTCAAGTAAACGATTCCAAAATGGGAAAAAAAACCCCGAAATTAGCAAGAAAATATTTTTTTCTTTAAAAAAAGGGAGAATTACCTGGGCATCGAGGCGGTTATTTCTTGATACAAAGGAGAATAGAAACCGGAATTAGAATTATTAGAATAAGAAAAGAAAAGACGAGAGAGAGTAAAATCTGTTATAGATTCAGAAGAATAGAGACTAGAAGAAGAAATAAGAAGGTTGTTTGCGCTGAGCTCGGACCTCATCCTTTTCTAGAAAGACAGAAGAGAATGATGGTTAGAGGCAGAAACAGATGCGTTCTTTGTGTTTGCAGACGTGCAAATTAAAAAGATTTGGGTTGCAAAAGGAAGTAGCAAGAACAGAAATAGAGTAGGATCAATCTGTCTTCCACGGTGCTTGGAACTTTATATTTACAAGTAAACTGTGAGAAACTATTATGGGATAATAAAAATAATATCGAATCAATATGATGTTGAATATATTAGATCAATATGACATATTAAATTAATATAAATGATTAAAATATTTTTGATTATCTATTGAAAGCTTAAAAAAGAGAAAAAATTATTATACTTTTTTAACTATTAAATGCTTTAACATTTTGTTCCTTACCAAACGATTTGAGTATCAGATCGTTGAATATATGATCGATATTTTTAGTGTAAGATAGATTGGCTGAAAGAGATCACTTGGAAGTTTGATTCTTCGAAACTGATATTATAAAAAAGGGTTGGTCTTAAGGGATAATTAGCTTTGAGCTGTGATTCGATCTTGCGATAGCTTGATCTCGCACATACATCTTGGGTTGAGTGTATAGTAAGCTTAAATATTGTCGAGGTGGTAATTATTCTAAATGATTCGAGATTAGTGTTGGAATTCATCTGACTGTGATGAAACTTATATTTTATTTTATAAACTTGAATTTAAGCTTCCACTTTGGACTTTAACGATGAATTGGACTCTCGATTTATCCCGTAGAGTCATTCGTTTTAGTCGATCTGACCTGAGGTTCATTCAGTTAGATCGATCTAATAGCATTAAATGAAAAAAAAAGTAATTTGAGTGGAAAAATTTTAAAAAGTTAGATGAAAAGACGTCTTCTCGCCTTTGCTTCAACACATGGCGCGACCTATGCCGTTCATCTGATCTATGGTGTGTTTATATAAAGAGCCGCTAAGGCTTTAATTTTTCATCTTTCTACTTTCTTTGCTCTCGATCAGACTTGAATTTTTTTATTTCAAAAGAATTGATTGAAACTTTATATGGGCTCATGAACGCACACCTTTAGCTAATTTAATTTAATGGAGAGATAAACCAGTTGCTTTTTCTATTATGCAAGCAAGATTGGTTAACTCGATACAAATCGATAGGATCTATGAGAGATAAACCAGGGTAGGTCGAGACCTGTCCTTAACCTCAGCACCAACATCTCCTCATTCTCTTGCCAAAAAGACATGTGTAGATGCCTCATTTTCCACGTTAGAGAACTCTGAGGCTAGGGTATTAAAGCTAAGCTCAATGAGGATCTCTACCAGCTTTGAGTACACTTTTGCTGATGACCCTATCACTAACCTGGCTATAGCAAAGAGATTCAGCAAAGTTGCAATCCCCCATCTTGGTAAGCATTGATTGATTTCAACTTGGTTTTATCAGTATTTTTTATTTTACTAAGTATGAGGTCATTTTGAGCAGTCTAATAGAAAATTTCCCTTCAACCCCTAAAAAACACTAGTGAAGCCCTCCACCACCTCTACCTCGCAATCACCTACCTACTGAGGGTCAAGAAAGATATGACTACCTTAGCTGAGGAACACAAAAAGAGCTCAGATGCACTAGGCAATGTCCAATCTAGTCTCAGTGTGTCTCATAAAAAAGGAAGCTAAGTAAAGGAAAAGAACTGACAAGCTAACAGCGAAGCTAGAGGTCATCTTGATTGACAAAGCTTCAGCTGACTCAATGAGGGAACAAATCGTGCTCAAGCTTAATGACACTCAGGCTGAAGTCGCAAAGTTGAGGTCCAAACTCGAGGCTATTGAAAAGAGGGAGGATTACTTGAAAAATAAAGTCGTGGAGGAGTTCAAGGCTTCCAATGAGTGCCTTCGGATGAAAGTGGAGTTTTTTAGGAAAAATATGCTTGGTACTTTCTAGTTGGCCAAGAACGAGGTGCAATTTAAATTTTTTGCTTTTAACCTCAACCTTTTTTATATTGATATCAACAATATCATATTGAAGACTCATCCAAATCAGCCCGATGAGATGCGGATGAGGATGAGGAAAAAGATGATGAGGATAAGGCCTTGGAAGTCAAGTTGAAGGTAGCTTTAGGGCCTAAGCATGAGGTGGAAAAGGTTTGGGAGGGTGAGGTTGTCGCCGCTACCCCTGCTGATGAAGATGTTGCTCCCACTGTTGCTACTGCTGATATTGTTGATGAATAATTCTTTTGACTTTTTATTTTTTATTTGTTGTAAGTTTTTGTTAATGTATGAGGTCGATATTTGTGATGACCTCGGGTAGGGATAATCTGCCTAACCAACAACTGATGTATTTAACAAAAATGAAATAGAAAATTTTTTTTGTTTTGTTCAAGTGTTAGCTCAATTCTATTATGATTTTTTTTTTTGCATAAGTTTGAGCATGATTAACTAAACTGAGGATTTATGTGATTACTTGGATCAAACTAACTTGAGAATCCATCTAAGTTCTAAGTCAAATTTCGTTAGATCGATTAAATGTAAGCTTACTAAGAAAATTTTAACTCATGTATTCAAGTATAAAATAAAATACTAGTGTGAGCTTGGTCTAACTAGTAATAAACCTTTAAGATATTTGCATTCCACGTCTTTAGGATGACATTGTCATTCGGGTCATGTAATTTGTAGATTGCATCATAGATGATTTCTTTAACAACATATGGTTTTTCCTAGGTCATGACTAATTTACCACCTCGATCGTCTACTCTTGAGGCATCAACTTTTTTAAGTACCAGGTCACCTTCCCGATGTGCTTAATTCTCTTATTATAATAGTTGGATATCTTTTACTGATAAGCTACTATTCATCTTAAGGCTATGTCCTTTTGTTTTTCAACAACATTGAGGTCGGCCCTAAGCGTTTTTTCATTTCCCTTTTTTGACGTTAGTTCAATTCTTAAGCTCAGAAAGTTGATTTCAACCAATACGATAGCCTCTGTTCCAAATGCTAAAAATATAATGGGGTTTCACTAGTGGGTACCTTTGTAATCATTCTTAGAGCCCATAGCACTCTTGGTAGCTCGTTGACCCATTTTTCTTTTGTTGCATTAAGTCTTTTCTTCAGAGCTTCTAATATTATTTTGTTCGTAACTTTGGCTTACCCGTTGGATTGAAGGTAGGCAACCGACGTGAACCTGAGGTTGATGTGAAGGTTTAAGCACCATTCCTTGAACCTCAAGTTTTTAAATTGTTTGCCATTATCCATTATTATAGATTGAGGTAAGTCGTATCTACAAACTATGTTTTTCACACAAATTTATCAACTTGGGACTCTATGGTAGGAGCCGAGATTTCAGCTTCAAGCCATTTTGTAAAGTAATCTACTGTCACTATAATGAATCTTTTCTGACCTGTGGCTAAGGTGAGTGATCCGAGAACATCCATTCCCCATTATATAAAGGGCCACGAACTGATGATAGGGGTAAGTTCAATCAAAGGGAAATGTTGCACACGAGTGAATCTCTTACACTTGTCGTATCTTTTTACCAGGTCGGTTGCATCCCTCATGATGGTAGGCTAATAATAGCCCTACCTAAGCATTTTATAAGCTAATGACCGAAATCCAAAGTGACTTCCACATATTTCTTCATTAATTTCTCATAAGATGTAGTTTGTCTTTTTCTCATCAACATATCTTAAGTAGGGTAAACTAAAAGATCTTCTGTATAATTTTTTTTCAATCATTGTGTACTAAGGGATCTTTCTCATTAGTGCCTTAACTTGAATTCTTTCATCAAGTAGTACTCTTGTGGTCAAGTATACCTTAATTAGTGTCATCCAAGTTTCTTTCTTTATGATCTATTCTACGAGCTAATTCTTGGTGTTTTTGTGTGTTAGCTCTTCTACTAGTACTTGATCCAGGATTTTTATTGTTATTTTTAAAGTCATCTTAGACAACAAGTCTGCTAGTGAATTCTCTGACCTAAATATCTTCTTCACTTCGACTTTCTTGAAGCTAGCCACCAAGGTCAGCTGTTTATCAAGATACTTTCGAATCCTATCTTTTCGAGCTCCAAACTCTATTATTTGATCGACCACTAGTTGAGAGTCATTATATGCAGTTATCTGTTAAACGTTTAGGTTAGTTGCCAATTTTAGACCAATTATCAACATCTCATATTTTGTCTCATTGTTGGATGAACCGAACTTGAATCTCAAGACGTATAGGTACAGTAACCCTTTTGGGCTGATCAGAATTAGGTCAGCTCCGCCGTTATGGCTTGTGGTTGATCCGTCAACATAGAGCTTCTAATCAATTTTATTCCGAGGTCTCTTCTTTTTTCTCGGATTACCTTTTTAATTGTACCAAGATGAGCTCTACGACAAAGTCTGCTAGTACTTGTGATTTTAAAGCTGACTTAGGTAACATGTATAGGTTGAATTCATTAAGCTCTACCACCCATTTAATTAATCTTTCTGACATTTCAAGATTATGTAAAACCTATATCAATGATTGGTCGGTTAGTACGTAAATTGTGTAGGCTTGAAAGTACGACCTAAGTTTCTTAGCTGAGGAGATAATGACGTAAGCTAGTTTTTTTATACTGCTGTAGTTAATTTCTAACATTGTCAATACCTTACTTACAAAATAGATCAATTTTTATTTCTTTTTTTCCTTTTGGACGAGGGTTGAGTCGAGCTAATGGCCTAATCCATGTTGGCTATATATAGGGACAAGATCTCATCAGATCTTGGCTTGGACAAAACAAGTAAAGAGGATAAAAACTTTTTGAGTCCTTCAGAAGCTTTTTGGCACCAAGGAGTCATTATGAAGTAAAAAACATTCTTGAAAATTTTGAAGAATGACAAACATCATTTTGTGGACCCGAACATGAATCGGCTTAGTATAGTTATTTTGCCCATTAACCTTTATGCTTCTTTTATCAAGATTGGTGCCTTTATGTTCAGGATTGCTTAAACCTTTTTTGGGTTCACCTTAATCCCCTTTCTGTTGATCATATAACTGAAGAACTTACCTAACGTGACCTTAAAAGCACATTTGTTCTGGTTGAGCCTCATATTATACTTCTTCAAGGTGTTAAAGGTCTCTCTGAGATTTTTCAGGTGCTCGATTGAGCTCTTACTCTTAACGATCATAACATCCACATATACTTCCATGTTGCAATCGATTTAATTTTTAAACACCTTGTTTACTAGTCTTTGGTAGGTCATCACTGCATTCCTCAATCCAAAGGATATTATCTTGTAACAGTAAAAACCTTTTTCAATAATAAAGACTGTCTTTTCCTCGTCGTCCTCTAACATTTTGATTTGATTATAACCAAAATAGGCATCCATAAAATTAAAGAGGCCATGTTCGATACTATCATCCACCAATTGATCTATGCTAGGGAAAAAAACGTTGTTTTTTGGGCAAGCTTTGTTTAGGTCAATAAAGTCCACGCACATCTTTCATTTTTTGTTGTATTTTTTTAACATGACCATGTTGGCTACCCATTTAGGATAATAAACCTCCCTGATAATGCTTGCTAATAATAATTTTTCGACCTCCTCCTCAATAACTTGTTGTCTCTATGGGGCAATGATTTTTTTTTGTCGAATCGATTTTACCTCGGGATTAGTGTGTAGCCTACAAATCATCATTTCAGTATCAATACTGGGCATATCGATAGTGTCCAAGTTAGCATTATCTTTCAGGAGTTGAATTAATTAATCCTTATGTTGAAGCTTAGCTCTGATCTGCATGTGTTTTTAAAGAATGCTATCCCAGAACGAAAAGGTTATGAGGTTCTCAGTAACTTCAGGTTGATTTTCGTTCGAGTCCAATTTTTGATCAATTATCTCTTTTTGTTCAATTAGGTCGGGATTATTTCCTACGAAAACAGATCTCGACGTGATGATCAGTATACTATGAATAACTTGTTGAATATGTGTGTAGTGAAATTTGTATGTATTTCTCATTTCATACTATATTTTGGCCAGCATATTAGTTTGGTCTAAATGACATATGGTTGTTTACGTCGGTTTAAAAGCTCATTCATCTTTGGTGTTTCCTTAACATGTCAGTTAAGGGTTTGCTAATTAAGCCATAATCCTTAATGAACTTCCTATAGTAACCAGTCAGTCAAACCCCTTAATGACTTCAATGTTGTAGGCATGGGCCAGTTCTTCATTGCTTCTATCTTGGAAGGATCAGTGGACACTCTATTAGCTGAAATAACATGACTGAGATATTCCGCTTGTTGTTGCCAAAAAAACACTTACTCCTCTTTGCAAATAACCTATGTGATCTCAGTAACTCAAAGACAATATATAAATGCTTCACATGCTCATCTAAGTTAGTGCTATACACAAGTATATCATAAAAAGAAACCAGTACAAATTTTCTTAGATATGGAGAAAACACATCATTGATCAAAGATTGGAAAGTAGCAGGAGCATTAGTGAGTCCAAAAGGCATTACCTTGAACTCATAGTGGCCTTGATGTGTTCTAAAGGTTGTTTTTGGTATATCATCCTCCTTGACTCTAATTTGCCAATATTCTGACCTTAAGTCAATCTCAGAGAAGAATATAGCGCCCCTCAATTCATCTAATAAATCCTCCACAACAGGAATGGGAAACTTATTCTTAACTGTAATGGCATTAAGTTGCCATTAGTCAACGCATAGCCTCTATGTCCCATCCTTCTTCGTGACAAGGAAACAGGGTTAGACAAAAGAACTTTGGCTATGTTGGATGATCGAAGAAGCTAGCATATCGGAAACCAGTTTCTCTATCTTAGTTTTCGAATGATGTGTATACCTATACGGTCTTAAGTTCACAGGTGGTGAATCCTTGAGAGGTATACTATGATCATATTTTCTCACTGGTGGAAGGCTCTTCGGTTCTTCAATGATATCCGAATATATAGCAAGTAGTGTCTGGAGTTCTGTAGGTAATTCTGTCACTTCATAATCAACACTGATCATAAAATCTCTCCCATCAATTCAGTGTCTGTAATAGCCAATTTTTGCAACGTTTCCCCAGAAATGGTCTTGAGAGCTGCAGTGGTTGTTCCTGCCTTAAGTGTAACTAAAAGTCCTTCCTTTTAAAACGTCAAGGACATGTCATTGAAATCCAGGGTCAGGGGACTATATTTTTTCATCTAGTCGACTCTCAAAACCATGTCACTGCTCCCCCATTTACAAAACTCTCAGGTCATGTGAAAATTGATTGTGAAAATTGATGCCCTTGCATGGTCCATTCAATCTTTTACACCTTGCTGTGTTATGTAACTTTTCTTCGTTAGCCACTGTAATGGATAATGGACTTCTATGCTCCAATTCTACTCCGTCATTAGCCCATCTAGGAGTTACAAAGCTATGGGTGCTACCACTATCAATGAGCACACTCATTGCTTTACCATTCACACTACCCTATATTCTAAAGGTACTATGTCCTACAACCTGTTAAGGCATTAATGGATATTTCCAAGGCATCCTCCTGTTTTTTCTTATCCCCAATTGGCTCACCATCAGCATTCTCATGTTCCACTTCTATAGCCACAATGCCTTCACGTCCATCCCTCCATCCTCTGCTGTAATTACATTTAGCTGCTTAGTTTTACAGATATGACCTGGACTGTACCTATCTCCACATTTGGAAACATAGGTTTTGAGCTCTGTTTTGCTCAAATAGGTTCTGTTTAAGGTTGGTAATAGTAGAGGTAGGAGTGAACTTCTGAGATGGGTTGCATAAAGAATTATTTGGTTTGGTATTGGACATGTTAAATGTGACAGGGTTAGGTTTTGGGGCTATCCTGTGTTTCTTAGCTTCCCATTCTAAAGCAAGTTCATGCAGTTTAGCTATTCAGTAGGCTGTAGTTAGGGAAGTAGGCTCGTTTATTTTGATTCTAGGTTTCAACTCTTCTTTTAGTCCATTGATAAAACTAGAAACAATAATTTTCAGTAAGGTAAGGATTATACTGCAACATATAAGGTTTGAGTTCTTCAAACCTTTCCTGATACTCCTCTACCGTAGATCTTTGAAAGAGTTTGTTAAACTCTTTAATGACATCTGAACAAGATCTACCACAGAATCTCTGGCAGAGATCGTGCAAACTCAATCCAGTCAACCCTTTGTTTCTGCATTATATAGCCATCAAACCATATTTCTGCTTTTCCAACCAAATACATAGCAGCAATCTCTAGTTTTTGATGATCTGTAATGAAAAATAATGCAAAATATTTCTTACACTCCCTCGGGTTACTACCATCAAAAAATGGCAACTCAACTTTAGGCCTTGAAGAAAAAACATGAGCAGTAATTGTAAAAGAACTATTCCCAGCAGAGTTATCGACGGCTTAAATTGATTAAGATGATTTTGATGCATGAATGAGCTGTTGTCTGAATGGGTATTGGCCAATAATCCAGGTTCAGAAGTTTTAAACGTATAACTCCCTTGATCGTCGACAATGGTAACTTCCACCGGAGCCTTGTCTTTTTTCTTAAATTGTAAAGTTGGTGTCGGTTGGTTATTGGTAACCCCTCCTGATTGTGATTGATTCTAGGTTGATTTCTTTGGTGACAGCTGCTCTAGCAACTGACATACGCATTCCTGATTCTCGGTCAACTTAGCGTCAGTGCTCTTCCTGTTTTCCTCCCCTGCTGCCTGTATCTTTTCCATCAGATTCTGCAAAGTCTACATTTGTTCTTAGAGTGCAGACGGCCTAGTACCTTCTGCCATTGTTGCGTTCTTCTTTCTTTTACCCAGATTGTGGTTGGATCGTAAAAGCTCTGATACCAAAATTGTTATAGAATCATAAGGATAAAGACCAGAAGGACAAATAAGAATGTTTAGAGAAAAAAGTAGTAGTTTTCATTCATGAATTTCATGTGATTAAAGTATTATTTATATACAATATCTCACATTTTCCTTTTCTCCTGAATTGCAACGACTCTATATTCCCACAACTCCTCGCAGCCCCCACTATCAAGTCAACTAATTACAAGTAAACAACTCAGCACATTTAACAACTTTATTACATTTTGTTATATTCTTCGTGTCTCTCCTTTCAGCACATCTTTATTTACTTTTCCCATTCTGATCTTGATATACTGACCAATAGAAATTTATTTCTAACCTCTGTATCATTGTTTTTGCCATTTTTGTCATGAAATTCAAAGTGTTTTTGGGGTAGGTGATATGGAGACATCGGATAAAATTTATAAGAAATTTTTTAAATGAATTTTATAAAATTTTTTAAAAACTAATTTAATAAAAATTTTAATAAAAAAATTCAAATAGATGGATAATAAAATTTAATATAAAAATCAATAATATATAAAAAATTTATTTTAAATGTTCTTTATAATTTAAATTTAATTAATACTTATTCAACAATAAAAATATTATTTTTAAGAAAATATCTATCTAAAAATATATATCAATATTTATTAAAATTTTTTAAAATTTTATACACTTAATCTATGTAACGAAATTTTTTAATCTATTAATTTCTAATTTTCATTTTTAATTTTTATTTAACTGTTTTTAATAAAAAATTTAATAAACTTTACTTTAAAATTTTATCCAAGTCTTTCCCGGTAAACATCAGCCTAGCAGCCTGCTTATTGAGCAAGGCAGAACAACTGCCTGGCCCGGCTAGGGTCCAATACAAAATTCAACATCAAGGAATAACTATAGAGATCCAACATTAAGAATATAAAACCAACCACTTTTAGCTCCCCAAGAAAAATTACTAAAAATCATGTGCCTAATCACATGACCTCTCTGAATATAAACCACTGTTTACCAAATCAGCGGGTCAGAATCGCAACATGTAACAGTCGAAGTAGAGCACATGATCTCACTTTGGGAGCAGATCCCAAATCAGTGTTTTTACAAGTAGCAAGTTTGGGACGGAACCCAAGATCAAACAATCCAGTCTCAATCATTTTCACTCATTAAGCAACATAAATTCTTAACAATTAGCACAATCATGAAGGCACTCACTCTAGCACTAACAGTTCTTACTCTTCTGCTTCTATCTACTTGGGTTAATAGAGGTCAAGCTGAAGCTCGTCCCATTCGACAGCCTCATTCTTCATCATTGTCAAGCAAGGGTTCATCCTCCCAAGCTCTTGGAGATTTGCAAGCCGACAAGAAAATTCCTCAGAACCAGGTCGATTCGAGCTTCCGGAGAATGCCTCCAAGCACTTCAAATCCTATACAGAACAAGTAAATTCTCGCATTCACAATCACATCAACAGTTCATGTCTTTCTGCCAATCTCAGATTTCCTAAGTTGATTTCGATACAATGTTTTTTGCACCAGGTCCAGCCCTCCATTACAAGGAGAAAGAAGTAGAAGACATTAATTTTTTTTTCTATTTAAAGAATTTCTTGTTACATTGTCTACTAATGTAGAGTAATAGCTTAAGAGCAACATTTATTAAATCACATAATGCATTAGCAGTTTTGCTACCATACTCTTATCAAATTTCTATTGCTAAAACTGCAAATTTTTGGTATGATATTGGATACAAAGTGAATTCCCAGCTTTTCCAGGAAGGTTTATATTTTCTAGCCTAACCAAAATGCTTGGCACAACCAAAATTTATCTCAAATTGGAGAATGCAATGGTGTAAATACAAACAAAATAACTTTCTCCAGTTGTAGGGTGTGAAATGATGCAGCTTAAGTTACCTATCATAAAATTTCAGCAAAATGCAGATTATCCGCAATTTCAAAATTTCAGTTTATGCTTCGAAGCTCCGCGTCGTTTCTTATCTATGCTGCCAGAAGAGAGAAAATTTTTCACTGCATTTTCCATCACCTTCTTAGAACCAAGTCCATCTTCAGACCCCACATCTCTTTTTCTCTTCTTCCTTTTCTTTTTTTTCTCCGCCAAGGTATCATCAACCATGGAAATGGAATTGAGAGAACTGTCTATCTCTTTCCTTGTGTTCAATTCCTTGGGCTCTGATATGTCCATAGAAGCATCACAAAGGAATTTATTCTTTGTTGGTGACTCACTAGTGCCAAATGCAACATAGAATTCATTGTAAGCTGATTGTTTTGATGCTTGTTTTGATCTCCACTGATCAGGTTTGGTAGCATATCTGTCATGATAAAACAAAGGTGAGAAAACATATGATAAAAACAAAATATAAACAGCCACGTTTCTTTAAGAATGTAGCATAGATGAGATAACATTTTACCATGTGAGCAACTACTATGTGAAACAGATGAATCTAACATCTAATATCATAATTGCTAAGTAAACAAATTAAAACAGGAAACAAGCAACTGAATTTTAGTTTATTTTTCCTATCAAACTTGACAGGCATTGCATTTCAGGATATGATGCAGCACAAGAAATAATCGCATCCAGCCAAACCAGCACACCGCAATTTACTTACCTATCGATATCTAATTTCCTAAGGAGATGAGGGCCTTGTTTTGTCTTGGAGAGTTCAGTTCGTACAGCTAACAATTCACATGCTATGGCTTCCCTTATTGACAGGCTACCAGCATCGAAGCACCTTTCAACAGTAAATGAACCGGATGGGTGCATTGCAAGCTCCCCAAAATGTCCACGTAGCCTTCATAATTAACAGCAAACAAACAATATGAAGTCAATAACAGCAATGGAATCATAAAAATTTTACCATGCATCAAAATAACAGCTCCATATTGAATCTCAGGAAAGGAGAGTAGCAGTTGTTATTCCATATAGAAAAAGACCAGACCAAAAAGTTATCATCAGAAAACAAAGCCCATTGTGCAGACAAGTTCCATTGCTATCACATTTTATCAATGGACCAAATGAATCAAGCACTGACAAGAACTTCCTGGAAAAAATATAACTGCCAAAGGAGCAGCTCAACATACTTCACAACTAATCTGCGCTTCTGTTTAGCGGAAGCATCTGAAGCAAGAAATGCGTCAATGACACACGCTCCTCCAGCATCTTTAGCTGTCTCGAGGACATGCTCAGCTGCCATGGATGCAATACTCAAAAGATAAGGCTGTATCCACTCCTGTAACCAAAAAGCAAGATATTGCATGCTGAAGTTAGAAAGCTAACAATTCACACTTTTGTTTGAATTAGTCAAGCCAATATCACACCGAATTCAATGTGATGATAAGAACTATTTCTACATTCACATCTTAATCATAAGCTTGAAGCTCATAATTGAAAACACTACAGATAATGAGAAGTTCAATGTGAGTGCACGTGCACACAGAGACATTGACTTAAGAGTAGTTTATGCAAGCAAAAGTGGCTGACAACTTAATAATAATGCACGATATATCCAAGGCCAGTAATCTAATTGGACAAGATCAGAATGATATAACATGTTCAAGAAAGGCAACATACACTTCGGAATTTAAAAATAGCCTGCAGAATTAAAGAACCCATGACTTGCATCTTAACTCCACCTGCCCAGCTCCAACTAGACTTGTCTTCACAGCTGAAGTAACTGTCAAGAAACAGTATTCGAGGGACAATAAACTTTGAAGTCTCATTTTTTGAACCAAAAGCGGCAGCAAGTGCCTGACAACACTGAAAAAAAAAAAAGAATGACAATTCACTGAAGGTTAGGACAAGGTATGGATGTACATCAATGAGAAGTTTCACTATAATGTAATTTGAAGTCTCATTTTTTGAAGCAACAGCGGCAGCAAGTGCCTGACAATACTGAAAAAAAGAATGAAAATTCACTGATGGTTAGGACAAGGCATGGGTGTATATCAAAGAGAAGTTTCACTATAAAGGAATTACATAATGTAATTGCCAAGTTCTTTCAGACTGACTAAATAGCAAGTAGTAAAGGAATTGTATTGAATTACTAAACCTTATATTCATGAGTTTGAAGCCTTTGACATGCAGCAATGAGAGAAGCAATAACTCCTGACCTCCCCATTCCAAGAAGATCCCCAAAGTTCAATCCAAGCTCTTCCCAGATCAACTCCATCTAATAGACAAAATGCAGAAAGTTTTTACAAATCTGAGAACAGTAGAGCTTTGCAGGATATCCAGCAGCAAAAATAGCTTTCATAGACTGAAGATTTAGACAGCAGCCAAAGATAATAAAAAAATAAGGAGCAAATAAATATAGATAAGACGATAATGTAATTTTACCAATGGACCATTAGTATTCATTGCAGTATATCCAATCATTTCAGGAGATTTGCATTAGCTTAGAATCTTGTAAAGAATCTCATGAAGCATAAGCTTCTATCCATAGTAGAATGTTAGAATACATACTTGATCTTTTGTTCTTGCATGAGAAATTAATGCTTGAATGACAAAGTTTCCACAATAATGGGATGAAAGCTTAAACAATGAATTCTTGAAAAGCTTTGTGAACATTTCATTATACAGGCTTTCAGGTGCGACCTCCAGAATTACCTGCAATTTGCAGAAAATGAAGCAACACTGTAGAATACCCAAAAAAGAAGAGCAGAAGCAAATAACAGATGATTTAACTGCAGCATATAAGGGAAATGATGATCTGGGCAAATTAACTATTATTTAACGGATCATCTTTTATCCAGTTGTGCAAAAGCACAAGAATGTTAGCGAATAGACAATGCAGTGGCAACAGCAGTTTTGAATCTTATGGTGAAATTATTAGAGAGGGAATGAGGAAAAATTTTCAGTTCACTGAAAACCCACTTTTGTCCCTAATCAAGGGAATTCAAATATACAAAAAGGAAAAGTTAACTCTTCCAGAACAGCGTCCAGAAGGGTTACAACTAGTAGAGCTGACGTTGTAATATGGCAATTATCAAGAGAAGACATATACTTTTGGGAGTAATTGATTACTAGGCCATTAAGGAAATTAGGTGCAAAATTTTAAGTTTATTTCTTTGAAGCTATCTAAGCAATCTATTTAAGATACCATTGTTATTTGGGTTCATATCCTTGAGAAGATACTCACATAGATGCCATCCGAATTGCTTTTTATGACATTAATTCAATTCCAAATGCAGTAACACTTCATGCATACAGTGAAATGAACAAGACATTTGATACAGAAAAAAAAAAAAAGAAAACCTTATAATCATGTAAAAAGATAAAATACATAAATAAATATATTCCTATAATAAGTTGCTTACTTCCATTAAGTGGCTAAATGCAGTTTCTTTCATTGATTCTAAAGCTTCACCAGCAATGGTCATGTCAATGAACTCTCCTTCCACCAAATTTTGTTTGTTGCAGCCAAGCAGAACTGGAATTATTTGCAGTAATTCTTGATCATCCCCCGCTAATAACTTCAAAGCTGTCTGACAAGTGAGAAGTGCAAAAAGTTCAGTCTTAGATTGGCACATTCCATTAATAACTCATTTCAAAAAGGAGAAAAAAGCCCACAAGGACAAACTTAAGAACTTGAAAACTCAAGAAAAGGCCATAACCATCCTTCCATCCCTCCCCTCAATTACCACACTCCCCCTCCCCATAAAAAATAAATTAAGGGCATATGAGACAGAGAGTTTTTGTTAGAGTCGACAAACATATTGATAAGAACTTGACATGCCAGTATAGAAACTACTAAAAAATGAGAATTCCGTATAATGTAGACTCCAAATAATGAAGTTTCAATAAACTACTTAACTTAGTTGAGTGAAGTTCAAGAATGTGGAAGGTTTCTGGGGATTAGTTATCACCTTTGACAACTTAACATACCGAAGCATGGTCCCAAATAGTTGAATATCTTAATACTTATCTGACTCTGCCAGTCATGAATGCCAAAAGCCATAAGGCAGCAGAATCCATGCATACAGATTGCTTTTGCATGTCTGACACAATAAAATGTCGACAAATGATAATAAGATAAAATAGCAGGATCAAACGAAGACGTGCCTGCAGAACCAAACTGCTATACTGATCAACTTGTAGGGTCTTAATGTCTGCTCTTGTAGAGTTTATCATCCCTGATACAAGGAATTTTAATAAATTTGGAAATCCTTGCTGAAGGTGCTGGGAATCATTCCCGTCCAATGGAGATACTTTGAAATTTAACCGCTTTGCTAGAGTTTTTGATGCCTTTGCTCCATGAAACTCTGAGGAGTCCAGTGGTACTCCTTTACAAAGACAAAGAAGGCTTCGAAGAACGTGAGATCCATAGCAATTACACATTAAATCATCAGGATTGACTACAATCATCTGAAAAGGATCAAAGAAAGATTCAGGGCAAGTTGCAAAAATTAGCACATAATCTTAGTTTTCCTCTAAAAATACTCTCTCGTAATATTCAGAAGTACTTGCTAATTACACTAAAAACAAGTGCATGCCAGAGAGGCAAGGCCTCCTGGAGTCCCATAACGATAAGATGTGACAAAGTTAGTTTTCATTTGCCATTTGAGAAAATATCAAATACTTGATACCTCACACATCATTCTCAGAGTCTCTTCAATTACGTTGTAGGCCTCTGTATCCTGAACATGCCTGGCCAATGACTTAAGAGCTGTCTCAGCTACATGAGAACCAGATCTGTCCATTGAAATAGCAGGAAAGACATTTGAACAGCCTCGAAGGAAACTGCAAAGATTGTCCACATCACAGCCATCAAGTAGAGTCTGAAGAGTATGGCTTATGATATAATCCGTCGCTAGTTCGAATTCCTTCCCCCTAGCTTCTTCAAGAGCATTACCACATATAACCGCTCGTTCCTCCACATCCACCCCTTGACTTTCAAAAAGACTTGCAATCTCTGAAAAGTATTTTGCTGTTTCGGGCTCAACTTGTTTCCTAGAAGGGTTATCAAATCTGTTAACACATTCATAACACAACTTAAAAATTGTTTTTCCAACTTGTATCAACAAAGTAATAATACCTGATGACCGGTGTTTGTGAATCCGAATTCTTGCGATGCTTGTAAGATTTCTTAAATTTTCCAATCCCATCACTCGCCTGCCTCAATACATTTTTGTTATAACCATCCCCATCAACACCACCATTTCCTTTCCTGGCCTTCTTCCCCATTTTCTTTTGCTTTTGAATCCTCTTATATAGTTTTATACTCTTAAAATTAACTTCCTTTTTGGGTCCCCAATAGAAACTGTGCTTTCCTCAATGCCTTCCTAATGCCCAAAAAAAAAAAAAAGATAAACAGTATTAAGAAGTTTTCAACAGAATCAATAGTTTTAAGTTTTAACAACTAAAATTTTATTGTTATTTTCCTTCTTACGGTGATTCGTGTATTCATGTAGTATAAAATACTAAAATTTGTATGTTGGTACCATATTTTTACACTAAATTTCATGTAAAAATACATGTCGACACAAAACATGAAATATATTTTTTTCGGTTTTATTAAACCCAAATATAATTATATCTAAAAATTTAAACAATGTAACTTTCATATTTTTTATTCGTATGGTATTCGTGTCGTATCATCGTGCGGTGTTTTAGATTGCCAATATCAGAAAATTGAAAGAAACAAAAATCAACAACCAAATATTGTTCAACTCAATTTAGACTTTTTTTTTTTTTGTAAACTACATCGTTTTAAGTAGACTAATAACAGAACAAAAACAAATAATTAATCAAATTAGATTCAAAGTTTGTTCAGCTTAAGACGACTTACAGTGCGGGGGAGGAGATGTGTTCCGGAGCTGAAACCTAATAGCTGTAAGAAAACCTCGCTTATGAGAGAGAGGGGGAGAGAGAGAGCGGAGTAGGAGAGATTGAACCGCTTTGTATCGCCGCTACGCGAAGGGCACCGAAAATTTTTGAATTGTAAACTAAAACGGCGTTGTTTCTTTCATTCTTTGTTTGGGTCTTTTTCTTTTGGGCTCAATTGAATCAGGGATTCGAAACACCAAAATTAGGCCTATCAATAACTTAACGGGATTACATTGACCACAGCTCAAAGCCCGTTTCCCCGAGGTCGGTAGATAGATTCTTTTTCTCCTTTTTTTTTTTATTTTCTTTTTCTTTTAAATAATGTTAACCTCATTATGCTGTTTCTTTTTTCATCTTCGAACCACCATTTCTCAAAGGAATTGATGCCCACAAATCCAGACAAAAATCCCTCGACGTAAACTTTAAAAATATTAAAATTAAAAATGTTGGTATCATAAAAGCAAAATCAAAGCATACAAAAAAATTTGAAAAAAATTGTTGGCAAAATCATGGGCAACTTTGCCTAACGATATTTAGATATTATAATTTATATTTTTGTATCATGTTTAACATGTATAATAACATAATTATTAAAATATAAATATTATATGAATTATAAAATATATTTAAATCTTAAATATAAACACAACATATTTAATATATATGTTATATGCGATACAACACGATTAATACGTATATAATTAATTTATTTAAATACGATATAAATAAACACAAATAATACGAATATACATGATTAACACAGATATATATAAATAAACACAATTAATATGAATATATACGAATAGATACGACTAATATGAATATATACAAAAACACGATTAAAATAATAAATAACTATAAACTATCCATCATTTGTAACTTAATAAACTTAATATATTAATAATATAAAAAAGTACTTATATATTAAAAAAATAAAAAATTTAATACTCCTTTAGTATATATTTAATATATATTTTAATTTTAATTTATATTATATTTTTAGTATCAAATTCAAAATGATAAACTATTAAAGATTAAAAAATAAAATAATAATGTATAAGATTAATATTAATATTTATATTGTATTTATATTATTAATATAAAAAATAATTTTATAATAATTATTAAATAAATATCATAATTAAATGTTTAAAATAATTTGTATATGACATTAAATAGCTAATTAAGTATCGTAATTAAAAAAAATTAAAATAATTTTTATATATTTATATTAAATTAAAATAAATATAAAAAATATGTTAAACGTATTAAACATATTAAATATGTATTCGTATAATAATATTAAATTAAATGTGTTATTCGTATTGTATTTAGATTTATTAACATATAGATAACACAAATTGTATCATGTTGAAATTTATATCAAAATGAATAAACACGAAACATATTTTTTAAAACATATATAATTTTTTATATTATTTTTGAATCATATAATCATGTCGTGTTTAAAATTATAAGATCTAATAATGTTGTACATGTAGCACATGGAAGGGAGTCTATGATGCACATGGGAATCCGTCCAAGTGAGAAGGACCCTAAAAACATCACCCCCGGATGAGCAATCCTTTCCAATCAAAAAAACATAGAAGGAAATTGTCAATCTTAGAAATTAGTGCCATCCAACACTAATAAAATTATAGAGTTTGATGAAGATAAATTGTTTAGTGGATCTAATAAAATAATGAGAATTCACATGCTCTATTCATACGGGATTCAGATCATGTTTTATATATATAATTATTGATAGAAAAATATGATAATTATCTTATATTATATTTGATTTGTATATAAAAAAATAAGATTATAAAAAAAATTAATTATAAAACATGATAATTATCTTATGTTATATTTGATTTGTATATAAAAAAATAAGATTGTAAAAAAAATTAATTATCTTTTTAGTACAGAGTGATTCAATTCTCAAAAATATAGATAATTATTTTTAATCCATAAAATTAAATTTATATTTTTTATTATATCTTTAAAAATTATATCAATAATTTAAATTATAAAAATTTAAAAAAAAAACAATTTGAATCAATAAATAAATTATCTTATCTTTATCTTTATATATATCAAATATAAAAATATTATTATTATTTAATCTAATATTAATTATAATATTATTTTATCTATTTATTATAATTTTATGCACTAAATACATCCTCAATTTACAAAATATTAGTCTAGCAGCTAAGTAAGCAGTCTCCCTTCTTTATTGGATTGGATTTTTATATTCAAAAACAAAATTCTGCTGCACGTAAAACAATGTTTTTAAGATGGGATAGCACTTGAAGTAAAATTTAAAGATACCTAGAATGTATATATGTGTATATATATATATATATATATATATGTATGTATGTATGTATAGAGAGAGAGAGAGAGAGAGAGAGAGAGAGAGAGATTGCATGGGATCCAAGTGAAGATGATGCGGCTGGCTGCCCAATTAATTAGTGGTAACACTAGAAAAAAATATTTTGGTTGACCTTTTCATGCATTTTTTTCTAATTTGTTTGCTACGCTGCTGATGATGCTAAAGCTTCCTTGACAGAAAATCTGTGTCATTTTTAAGTGGCATTTTATTAGGTTAGGCACAACTTGTAAGAAATCTTTTGAACTTGGAAAACGGGTGCAAATTAAATAAAATCTTTACTTGACGAGCTTAGTCTAGCAACCATTGGTAATATATATTTGATGAGGCTCTTACCAAGTTAATTTGACTCTCTTTTATTAAATTAAACTTTGTTGATATAAGCTGCATTGGTATGATTTATCTAATTTAAATTAATTCGACTTATAAATAAGAAAAATTTTTGATATAAAGAAAATTGTAACGTGGAATAAAGAAAGAGTTTAGTATTAATATATTTTATTTATACAGCTAGATTTGTCACAGCATTTCTCATTCAAAATGATGAAACCGAGGTTGGTTCACCCCCAACTGCGAAAGATTTTTCATTTTCTTTTTCTTTTTCTTCTTCCTAGATCGTGTAAGAAGGTACAACTATACTATATTCGTATACAGCTTGGATTTATGCAATTCGCAGTTCCATGAAAACCAAAAGTACCCACATCGAGTTATGTCAACCTGTGCATATTTATTCTGCTTCAGGGTTAATAAGTTGCATCAAAGCTTTACCTCTCTTTGTATAAAAAGGACTCCCCCATAAAAGCTTCCCCATTCCATCCTATAGAAAAGAACAACATAGGCAAAGTGGATTCTAGAAATTAAGTTCAGCAGGGAATTTGAAAAGAGCTATGGATTCAATCAAGTCATTGAAGGGCTATGGTAAAGTTGATGACGTCGAAGAACAAGCTTTCAAGCGAAAGACACGAAGGCGTCTCATTATCCTTATCATCTCCTTTGCCGTGCTATTAACAGTTATCGTTGGCGCAGTTACAGGGACTCTGACACACAAGGGAAGCAAATCGTCTCCCAACACTGTTCCAACATCTGAGTTGACTCCAGCAGCTTCGCTCAAAGCAGTTTGCAGTTTGACTCGGTACCCAGCTTTCTGCTTCTCCAGCATATCTTCCATTGCATCCTTAAACACAACTGACCCAGAACTCCTCTTTAAGCTGTCTTTGAGAGTAGCCATCGACGAGCTCTCCAGATTGTCTCAATATCCCAGCAAGCTACAAGCTGAAACCAATAATGCCCTAGTGAAATCTGCTTTAGAAGTATGCTGAACTCTGTTTGACGACGCGTTGGATCGACTGAATGATTCACAACTTCCCTGGAAGTTGGCGAAGGAGAAAAGCTGTTGTCAGCATCCAAGATCAATGACTTGAAGACTTGGCTAAGTGCAACCATAACCGACCAAGAAACATGTTTAGACGCCTTGGAGGAGTTGAGAACTACAAATGACTTCAACGCCACACTTCTGTAAGAAGTGAAAACTGCCACGCAGAACTCAAGTGAATATGCCAGCAACAGTTTGGCTATCGTTGCTAAGATCTTGGGTCTGTTGACTGATTTCAATAATATTCCGACTCATAGGAGGTTGCTAGGGTTTCAGGGAGCAGATTCAGAGTTTCCAGCTTGGGTTAGTCCCACTGAAAGGAGGTTGTTGCAGGACTCCAAGCCTACCCCAAATGTTATTGTGGCTTAAGATGGTTCCGGGAATTTCAAGACGATTAACGAGGTGGTGAAATTGGTAGGAAAGAAGAATGAATCGAGATTCGTCATATATGTGAAGGAAGGAAACTGAGAATGTGATTCTGGATAGATACAAGTGGAATGTGATGATTTACAGTGATGGCAAAATAAGACTACAATTTCCGGTCGCCTGAATTTTGTTGATGGAGCTTCCACCTTTGCTACAGCTACTTTCGGTAAGTAATTTTCTATCGTTATTGACCATGCTATTATTTTCTAGTATCATCTTTTTATCAGTTTTTTCGTAGCTACAATGGAGATTTGTTAATTAAAAAAAAATTCCTTGAAAGATATTAAAGATGAATAATGTGATTATGAAATCCCTTAGTGCATCTAATGTTCGTTCGGAAGTACTCTCAAGCTGTGATCCCAAACAAAGAAAATAAACCCTCAAACTGTTTATGTTGTCTTTGCCCTTTAGATTTGTGAAACTTCATGAATCATGATGAAGCTTAAACCATGTGCTAGAGTTCCTCAGACAGCACAGTGTCATCTCTTATGAACAAGATAAAGAAAACCATATTGTGCTTGTGTGCCACTATGTGCATTTGTTGAGTTACTCGACTAAAATTTTGCTAATTTGTCGCGAGATTTGTTGATCGGATGTTGAACTTTTAGTTTTAATCACTAATGTTGAACTCTTAATTTCAATAACTAAGTTCAAATCTTGGCAGCCTCATTTTTCACAAAATGAAATTATGTTAATCCAATTTAATGTTGGTTGCCCTGCTTACTTTTGAAATTTTCAATCCACAAATAAGGCTGAAGCCTGGATGTTGGTTGCCCCACCATGTTCTGTCTAGTTTGTGATTCACAAGTATCTTTCCATGTGATCCAGTCCTCTCAACAATTTAAAAGGCCTTCAACTGATATAATACCATACTACATAAATTAGTATTACAAATTGCCTATGTCATGGTATATCCAAGGAAAATTGTTCTTTAGTGCTCCCCTGAAGCCTTATCCATTAGATGGTGATCTAAACTGATCAATTGTATGATGCTGACGGGCATCGGTCAATTTTAATGCTTTTATAGTTTTGTTATTGGAAGTTTATCTAGAAAATCTATTAGTAAAGCTGATCTGAAACCTGGAGA